GTTGAGCAATATCCTTAAGTTTTTACAGAAATGTATGTTCATTTCTAATGCTTTCACAAAAATCTCAGAAATGTATCAATATTATAAAAAATTCAAGAAGGAATATATTGATTTTAATGTACAAGATAATCAACTTAAAGACACTAAACGAGAAAGGATTCAATTTATTTTTAAGGGGATAAAAACATTAGGTGATTAGTTTTCAGCACACTACACTTACAAGTACATCAGTCGCTGTTATTAAATAAGTCTTTCTTTATCTGGAAGGAATGATTCTAATCCTTAAGTCTAATGAATTTCAGATTGTTAAAAGTTGTTATATACTATAACTTGTTAAATGACTTCAGGTGAATCATCTTTACTTCGTTGCACGAAGTAGACGCGAAAAATTTCGGATATCAAATTTCAACGAAAATATCCATTTTGACTGCCCTAATCCATTTGAACGATGCTTTCGCATGACATTTGTACTTACGGACAGAATAAAGAACTCTTTCCCCCCCCCCAAAAAAAAGTGGATTGTAAGATGGATTTAAATCGGATTCAGAAGAGATTTTATCGTGATGTCTGTACGTATGTATATATGTATCTCGCATAACTCAAAAACAAGTAGCCTCAAAACGTTGAAATTTTGTTTATTTGGAACTGGTATAATATGTAGTTGTGAAACTTCCTTTTTGGTGTTGCAATCGGCCACAACAAATGTATATATATGTGTTGTGTGTTCCCAATCTGTTACCCGGCTCGGTGAGCTGCTTTTTATTATTATTATTATTATTATTATTATTATTCTATAAGCATTTTTTCCTTAACTATATTGTTCTTATATTCCAGTTAAGGTTTTTTATGCCTTTAGTTCATCTTCATGCAACAGTTGTAGAATTATCAACAATTTAAAAGTGATGCTAAGCTTAACGATGCCGCCATTTGTTTACATTTGAAACTCTTAGTAGAATCGGGAATTAAGTCAGTTTGTGCACCAACTTCAGTGTCATTTTACCGAATGGGACTTAAAAAAAATTCAGTTGTGTTCAACGAAAAATCAGTCTTCCTGCTCGCTGGGCGAACTGCTTGTTTTGGCGTAGAAATTCTAATTTTAAATATAATTTTTTTTAACTGTTTTCAATCGTATTTGGTATTTCATGTTTTTCTGTATTTTACAATTTTTAATAAAGATGCTTTGAGTTTATGTATTCTTGTTTTGCCGATATCTCTAAACATCAGTTAAAAGCAGTTTAAAAAATAATTCTGCATAAAAACAAACAATTCGGCTAGCGAGCAGGAACAAAAAATTTTCGGTGCACAAAATTGAAAGTTAACTAATAATTAAGTACTAATTTAAGCATTCAATGTGCAACTGCTAACCACTAATGGATGCTTAGCCTTGAAATTATTTCAATAAAAACAGTCACTTTCATCTTTGTGCCTTTTTTTTAAAAAAAATTCCCCAAAAAAGTATATTTGGAACTTGAAAAATTTAACTTGAAATAAGGATTTTTGTAGTACTAATATGATTTCGGTAATAAGTTAGATTTGTTTACCTTGTATATAAAATGGACTTTTGTTTAAAACACACGGTGGAGATATTTTGATCTCGCACTTTTAAGGATACATGATCTTAGGGATAAATCCACATTAACAAATTTCATCAATAAAGATATCATTACACTAAATTTTATATGAAATGAAACATATAAGTCCATAGAATGACTATAAAACACAACTGAAGGAATTTTAATGGAATACTTGAATGTGAATGATTTTGTTATTGTTTAGATTCTCAATGAAAAGTGTTATTCAAAGTGTGGATCAACTTGAATATAAAAGTTGGGATTTTTATATAATATATAAATGAAAAGATATGTCAAGAATTATAGTAAAGGAAAGATTATACCACGAACGATATAAATAAAATTTTAATAAAAACATCTGCTAATTATTATCGTTTTCTTCAGTTTAACACATCATTTTTATTAGAATTGTATGCTTCTGATTTTTAAGTAATAATATAATCATTTCAATTTATATTTTTTTACACTTTTAAAGTTAAACTTTAGTATAAAGTTGTGTTTATAACATTCACGCAGATTGAACATTTTAACCAAAAAGGATGCTTATAGATCTATTTAAAAATGCAATGACCATTATATATTCCAAATACTATTAATTAAATTAAAATAGATATTTCATAATGTATGCAGGTTGAAATTTTTGCATGGCACGAAATGAAAAGAGATCAGTAGGATACATGATGCCTTTTTTTAAAGACTGAAATTTTGAATTCATTAATATAAATTTATTTATTGTTAATTAAATATATCATATTCTGTGAGAAAAAGATGAAATAATAATTCTGTTGACATTTCTTAATGTATAACAAAGAAAACAATTTTAAATTGTCAAAAAGGAATACTCGTCCCCAATGTGGGGAAAAAAAGAAAATATTTCAATAATTTAATTTTGACATTTGTCTTGGTAGTTAAAATTCATCAACGCAGCTAAGACTACAATTATCCAAAACTAAGATTCATATTTTATGCACTAGAGAGCAGCACTCTACTTGCCACAAATTTATAACACAGTCAAAAGTCGTTAATTCGGACACCCATAATCCGGAATTATCTATAATCCGGACCTCAAAGCTTCAAACTTTCTGCGCATGCGTCGCGTTGACGCAAGGCCTTTACGGCTGAGAATATGCTTGTGCGCGTGCGCGTTTAATGTATAACGGACGGTAAAAGCTAAGCTAAAATTATTTAATTATCTATTTCAGTTAATGTTGCAGATTGCGTTGTTCCTTAACCTTCGAATTGGATCCGGCTTATTATTTTTTGCAGACTGTTACAGCAATTTTATAAAAGTAAGCTTGAACTTTCGATTATGTCAAATAGAATTTCTAATATATATTTATTAATATGTAAATGATCTACAAAGCAAAAGTATGTTTTGAAGTTAATTAAACAAAAAGTGGAATTGCTACAAAAAAATTGATAAAGGCATATCCTTTGTTTATCTAAACTTTAACGTTTGTTTATCTAAACTTTGTTTATCTTTAACGCCGCGGCGCCATGCAATGAATTGGAAGTTGATCTGTCAGCACTATCCTTATCTTCAGGGCAGATGTTTTTATTTTATTTGGCTTATAATTCCTTATTAAATGTAGTATTTCATCTCGATGTATCCGATCTTTGATATGATTTAAATCAAATTCCTCGTCATTATAATTCGCTTCCGATAGCGAAGAAAGAAGAAAGTGACAGAGGTTATTGAAAACAAACGAAAAAATTTCGATTGACAAATTAGTCGGTATTCTCGACACAGCAATTATAGGACTTGAACAGCGGAACTTTGTAACTGAACAAGAAATTATGTCTGTTTATAGAATTAAAAGAAAGTATTATCACATAAAAAACGAACCAACTTAAACAACTTACATTGAAAGAAATGTTTAATAAAGTAAACAAATAAATATTAAGCTTTTTTTTTTTTTTTTTTGTAAATTTTGATACCCTTTAGATCATAAATTTTCTTTATTTCATAAATTACGGTTTCATATTTTTAATTTTTAGTAATTTCTGCATGCCATCTTACCAGATTTAAACTGATGATCTATAATCCGGAAAAATCGATAATCCGGAATCGCCGAAGTCCCGACGAGTCCGGATTAACGACTTTTGACTGTAAGTAGTACATAAAAAAGACTTGATAACTACATAATTGAAATACTTGATGAGACTGCCAAAATTAATGAAAAATAAATCATAGACATTTCAAAGGCCAAAGAAAACACAATCTAGCTTTAAAAAAAAAAAAAAAATACTATCATATTTAAAAGTTTCCTATATAAACATGTAATCCAAAAAATTTAATTGTATTAGTTTACATTTACACTATTAAAATATTTTGTGAAGTAATAATTCACATTCTATTATGTATCAAAATATTAAATGAATTATTTTAAATTTACATTTTTATTATTATGCAGGACTTATAAAAAAACTTATTCTACAAAAAAAGGGGGGACTGAATTCTTTCAGTCAGTCTCTCTACTAAATAATGTTTCATTACAATAATCACTCGTAAATGCGTAACCATTTCAATGCCTCACCAGTGAGCAAGTGGACACTACTTCTGAATAATAGTATTTCAGCTCAAGTGAGAATCACAGCTTAATGAGCTGGCAGCAAAAGCATTTTCATTATTTTTCTCACTTATAACATAATTATGGGCCAGTATCCATTAAAAGAAAAGAAAGGTTTGCACTGAAAAACCTTTTTTTAATGATTAAAAACCTTTCTTTCCATTAAACGGTTTGCACTGAAGGTTTCAGTGCCATCAGCCTTTGCATGTTTTACCATAACTTATTAAATGAACAACCATTTTGGTAATTTTTCTAAAATATTTCTCATACTAATTAAAACTAGGAAATATAAATTAAATTAAAATTTTTTAATTAGATTTTTTATCCTTCCTTGAAATGTCCATAACAACAAAATGCTTAAATAGCATGACCACATGCTACATGCACAAAATAACTTTAAAATTTCTAGAAGATTGGTCTGTTAAATATTCTTTCTCTATTGCATCAAAAGAAAATAATATTAATTTATATATTACATTTACTATAGATGAAGGTGTTTGAAATTCCAATAGTGTTTAAAGGCATGACATCACTCACTGCTTTTTTTTAAGAATATTTTTTAAGCTCAATACTTTTACATTTGGAAAAATATTTACTGCAGAAGAATCAGTAAATACATATTTTTCTTTTTTTTTAAAAAAAAGCATATTTTATGCATTTAAACTTTTGACATTATTTTTGGACTCACTATTTTTTTAACTAAGTGTTTCATAGACAGTGTTATACAGTATACTTGAAATTTATCACTTAGAATTTGTTAATCCTACCTGGTACATGAAATTTATTGATCCTAATTTTAAAAAAAAATAGAAAACAATAGAAGCACTTTTACTGTGAACAAATAAGTTAAATAAGACTATAAGGAATGCAGTCATTTAATTATTTCAAATGCAGAATGAATTAACAAGTTACAATTAAATATTTAGTTTCAGAAATCAGAATTTCCTTTCAGACATTTAAACACACACACCAATTAAGCTTACATAATTTTTATTCATGAAATAAAAATGATAAGTGCTACATTTTGAGCAACATAAATGGAAAAAATATATACATACACATAAAAACAAAAAAAGACAAAATAAAAATAAAATCTCATGCACATATATAATCCAAAAATATTTAAATATGCAATAAATATAAGGAATGTATCTGTGAAGAAAAGAATCAAACATTTCACTTTGATATGAAATTAAAACATGCAAAGAAGGGAACTAAAAGAAAATAATAAACATACACAATATATTTTCACTGCACGTAAATACTGATAGTTTCAAGTAAATATTTGTGAAATTAACACAACACAATTTATAATGGCCAGTCAATTAAAATAATCTGAAAACTACTGTGCAAAACCTATAGGATAAGTAGTAACACTGAATGCCAAAGAAGCAGTCACTGTCAAAAGGGAAATGAATAATATACATATATAGTGCTAATCGGACAGGCACTGAATCATATGATTGAAAAGAAAGCTGATCTATTGGTTACACCATCCAAACAAGAACTGAAAAGTGTTCATAACAATATACAAACAATGAGATATATTGCAATACATGAAAACAGAAACCCCCTTAACATTCTTGTTTCAGTTCAGTACCTCCATTTCAATTCCTTGGATAAATAGAAGCAGTTTCTTTTAGAAAATCTTCCTAAATAGATAGATTGCTTCATGTTTTACCAAAATAAATTAACCAAATAATATTCTACCAGCAGAAAGAGCAGAAGGCAAGCAAACTTCACAAAAAACAACATTTATACCATCAAATACTGCAGTGAGCTCATTGATTTTGCAATAACATAGCCATTTTTGAATGCTTGCATATAGCTGCTTGAATTGTACAAATACTAGGTGGTTAGTTCCCTTTTCAATCAAACAATGCAGTGTTTACTCCCTTTAATGTTTAATGCACATGTTCATAATTTCCTTTACAGTTGTAACTGCTTCTCCATCATTTCACATTATTGCTTGGCCGATAGGTTTTCGACAATACCCTTAGACTCAATTTTTGTCAATTTAGTGTAATAAATATGAAATAAGTGAAATAAGTAGTGTAATATATAAAAGTGTATCAGTGTTTAAATATATATAATAGTTTTTATGCAAGTATGTGAAAAAATTTGTGATTTATATTCAATATTATGATGCACTGTACTGCTGATACTGAATCCATGAATCTTTTCTTATACCAATTATGGAATAATTTTTCCTACAGGTATCGGCAAATGTTTGTTTATAACTGTGCTTTCTAAATAACTATAATTTTCTTGTGGTTGCATATGTCTTATACACTGCATTACCAAAACCATAAAACAATTATTTATTTTAAGTAATGAAAGAGCATCATAGAATAACATCTGCTGTTCCCAAAAGAATAATAATGCACATTTAAAGAATCAAAAGTCTAGGTCAATCAATGAATTTTACTTTCAACACAAATGTGAAGATATGACATGGCTCTCAATCATTTGACCACAAATTATGTATTTAAGAATATACTGCATTATATTAATCTATATATATAATACATTCCATAAAATTATATATTAAGTTGATAGAAAAGAAAGTGGACAGGTCAATTAAATTTTGGAAACTTAGTACAAAATTAGACCTTGTATCTTTTCCTACCTGCGTTTCTATGCAGAAACCAGAACTCAAATATGAAGGCTCTCTGAAAGTCTTTTAATTGAAGTACATGTAGCAGCACCCTCTGCAATTGGGCCTAAATATCTAATATAAATTTAAGATGCTGAATTTCCAGATTCAGAGAAACCTAGTGGATAAAAATGAAGAATACTATTAGTTCATTCTGGTCTTGATTTCCTGCAAACAAGCAGATTTCATGAGAAGTTCCCATATGTAATGTAAACACATGAGCCAGTCTGGCTTAGAAACTCCTCTGTACGACACACAGCCTTGAATGCTTTGTCATAATTAATCAATCAACTTTCACTTGGGATGTCAGTATCAGAAATAAAAGAATCTCAAGGTGAAAAATTTGGCAACTAAGATAGATGAGAGACTACTATGAAATTAATTTCTGCCAAACTGCTGTACTTTTAGAGCACTACTGAAGGTGCTTTGGTGCAATATTATGGTTAAACAAACATCGTATTATTGCACAAGTAAGGTCTCTTCTGTCAAATATACTCTCTCAACCCCCTCACAAAATATTAAAACAATTACCAGTTCAATTAAAGAAATACTAAAAACAATGCAGACTGGCTGATCTGAAGAAATTAATTTTCAGTGCATAATACTTGTCATGTGAATAAAACTTTGTCTTTAATGAACTTTATCTGACTTTATGCGGGACCTATTTTGAAGCCAATTTGCTCATAATTATAGCATAAGATTAGATATATATATACATATATATGTTAATACTAGCATAGCTTTTTCATTAAATTCAATATATTTTGAAGATAACTAAACTATTTCTTCCTTTCTCTTCTTTAAGATACTAAAATTTTCAGAATTTTTTTGCAACTTGAATTTCTATCAATACAGTCTGATATAAAATCTATACCAATCTTTTTCTTCTTTTTGGCCTAATTTTACATTTTATGTTGGTATATATATCTCTTTCTTATATTTTTAGTTATGAATCACACATACTACTATGGCTCCAGGCACTAAGCCCTTATAAGACATTTAGGCCTTTACATAATTTAGAATTCTAAATTAATTTCAATCAAAAGACTTCTTGCAGCATACCAGTCAGGATGCAAGTTCTGGAATCAGCATATAAGTTCAGACAGAGCTACATTCTTTGAATTCAATTACTCTACCCAGCTACAATACTTTAAGATATTTAATTACATTTGTAATTTTTAGTTAATTCCTAATGGAAAACTCAATCAACTTTCATTATTACAAAAAATTCAAAATTCTAGATACTGATTTAAAATAATAACAATTAAACACTATTTTTAAAGTATTTAAACTCTATTTTATATGCTTAAAAAAATAAAAAAATAAAAATAAAAGCCTATTATTTCCTAGCTATTAAGTTAGCAATAATGTCACACGTGAGTTTCCATATGTAAAATAACATTAATGTATAATGATTAGCCATTTAAAAATATATAACTAGGGATACATATAATTAAAATACTTTAATAAAACCTCTTAGAACAAAATGTTAGAAATTAAACTGATTTAGAGTAATTTAAATTAATTTAAAATTTCATAAACAAAAATTTTTTTAATAATTAGTTTTGCACAAGCATTATTGTTCTGCTTTTTTTATTAATCCATAATAAAGGTTATTACACGTTGTTATTTATCAGTTGGCAAAGTTACCTGGCAAACTTTTCTACCTTTATGAAAATGGTAAAAAATATACCCAAATAACACCAATACCTGAAAAGTTAATAGTTTACATGAAATTAACTACAGCTTCTAAAACAAAGGATCTGTACTGACATAATGACTTATTTGTAATAAAAGGAATTCAAATCTTAACATCAAATTGCTGTATTATGCATGATTTTTAGTTAACTCTTGACATTCAAAGTGTGCTTGTAAAAGTAACAAAAAACGTAGATCATTTGTGTCTATAAAAAATTTGAAAATTCATACAATTTAAATTGGTCCCATTTACTGTATAATGTATTTTATAGCTGCTTGACACTGAATTTAAAATATAGAAAAGTAAACACACATCGAAAATTTAATTATAAACGGCGAAATATAACACATGATTTAGCGGTAAAAACATTACAGACCAGTATTATCTTTGTTTGTTAGTATAAAAAGAATGATTTTAGCACCCTATATTATCAAAATTAATATATAATGTGTACCCTGGCTAGATTTTAAAAACTATAGCTTCTGAACTACTCATAGAGGGTCATCTTAAAGCAAATTTCACACAAAGTAAAAACTTATAATACTCAGCAAATAAATGCACTGTTCAGTGCACTTTTTCTTACATAAAATAAAAATATCAAATCAGATTTAATCAACTCACAAATATTTCAAGACATCAAACAGTAAAATAATGAAAGTAGTGAAACACTTATAATTCACCCTGTGAATATTCCCAATTGAATAGCTTGGCTGCTTGAAATTTTCCCAGTTTTCTCTATGTGTGACATAAATGCACTCCAATTTCTCTTAAATCTTTCAGGAAACAACAGTCCTTATAGCAGATGGCCAGTATAGTTTTAGCTAATAATTCAATTTTCAGATTGCATGATTCCATTTGCTATTGCTCAAAACAGGTAATTTAACTAATTTTATATAATTGTTATTAATTGGTTTGAAGCTCCAAAACAAACATTACTATATTTGCAAACGAATAATGATTATACTCATAAAAATTATGATCCCCATTTGAAAATGTAAATTTACATTTATTAATTAAGAAAGAAAGTAAAAGCATGCATCAGACTTTTCTAGAAATTTCCTAGCTTTGCATCAAATTTCATTCATTAATTACAGATATATTTAACAGTCATATTCATTTTTAACATTTCGCAGAATTTTAGATAATTCAAAGTTTATGACACTAAGTGTTGCTATAGTTCAAATTAATAATAAAAAACTGTTTTGAACAGATGAAGAAATTTTAAAAACTGAATCATAACTAAAAATTTTTTCTAAAACAAAAGAAAAAAAAGACAGAAAAATCAGTATCACTGTCTGAGATATAGTTTCACTCTGTTTATAAAATATCAGCAGATATAAAACTTTTTGTTCTCAGATGAACAAACTCGGAAATTTCAATAGATGTAAATGTGAATATCGAAGATATATACAAGTATTACTTTATTTCACTTATGGTACATAAATGAACAGCAAACTATATTGTTATCTAATCACCTTAGATTGAACAGTATATGGCAAATTAAATGTTCAGTATCAGAATAGGAAATAAATGGAAAGGCGGGTGAGGGGGTAGTATGAAAATGTAAGTTCATATAAAAACAAGTTGTTACCAAGACAAACGTTAACAACCCCTTCACCTTGTACTAGAATAAAATACATTTTATGCAAAAATACAAATCATTCTTCACACAGTGTCATACATATTTTTAAAATAATTTCATCACATGCACTTTGTTTCAAAACATCACTTAGTAATCTCAATCAATTAAATCTGTACATACTTAAGACAGCTTGGATTCTCATACAGAATTCAAGCAAATTTTAGTAGCTAAGTCTCATTTGAAACACAAAGGTGTGAAAAACATACATGATAAAAATTGTTTCCTTGCATAGGTATAACTGGGAATTCATCAAACACTGGTATTTAATTTCCTGAAATCAATCTCTTATCAAATTGACATAGTAAAAATTTTAATTTTAACATTTTTCTAATAAATATCACCATAAATTAATATTAACTGACAAGTGAATTATTCATAAGGTCAAACAAGAAAAACATTTATATATAAATTTGTACTTCAAACTTACTTCAACTTCAGAAGAAAGTTTAATTTTAAGTATTAAATTGGTGTGGAGATATATTTTGTAACACATGAAAGTAACGCAAATCTATAGAGCTATAAGTAACAGTAAAACAGACAAAATAAATTCTAATCTAAAATCTGGTTATATAACAATTTACAAACATAGGAAATGCATTTTAACTGATGCTTTTCAAACACAATATTAATAACAGCACAAATTCAACATTTAAACACCCAACTCCTGATCAAATGAGGGTAATTTAAGCAGTCCACAAAAAGTCTTAAAATTGTTTATTGCAGTATAATGGAAAAATTACAATCACAAACTATAAGAGGCAACTGTGAAACATAACTGTCTGCGGAAGATACAAAATAAAAATATGTGGAATAATAAATAGGAGGGAGTAAGGATGATGTCACACTTTTTGCAATCTGAAATACACAAATCATTAAAAATAAACTGCTATGTCATAATATATCAAGTGTACAGCCATTAATCATCTGTTCACAATGACTCTACAGAAATCCAACTGTTGTATGAGCAAAAACATTTGAAATGTTTTCTTTTTCACTTAATTAATTTGCATAACCGAATTAATTTATTTTCTAAACTCTTGAAGACACAGGTAAATAGTTAATAGCACTTTTTTAGTTATAATATGGAGTATTCCTCTTTTCTCCAAATGCTTTTGGATTCAAATGCATTTGGATTAATCATAGATATCATCTCTGTTATTACTCTGGTTAATCAGGAGTTGACTGCAATGTAATTATCATTATTATGATTATCATTTATAAATATTAACTGTTTATGCAACAGCTGAAAAAGGGAGAATTTTTTTTCAATCATAACAACAAATATTTATTTAGGCAGTATTCAAGGTGCTTGCTCTCATACTGCAAATGAGGTTAATAAAAAATAAATTTATATTTTGTACAATTCAGCATAACATAAGACACAAATTTACAATTGTCAGGCATATATTTAATTCTCTTACATTTGTCAGGCATTTAATCAAGATTTTTAATATGAAAATGGAGTGAAAATGTGAAGTGCATCTGTGACTAACAAGACTTTTTTCTTTCCTTCTTTTCAATATTTTTAAGCATTTATTTGTCCTGGCACAAATAACTGCTCACAGTTGATGTGATGAATGCACAGCTGTAAATTAATAAAAAATATTATATTCAGCTCAAACATTAACATTATGTATCATTTCATACAAAAATGATAGATGACAGAAGCACACAAAAATACTCTGTTGTCTGCAAAAAGTCACATAATATTCACTTTCTTCTTAGGTTTTCAAGAACAACTATTTTCCATACTGCAATAAATGAGAGCGTAAGCTGCATTTTGATCTTGGTCTGGGAACAGTCTGATGAATTAAAGTTTCTTCACTAGCTACCATTCGTTTATGATCAGCTACTACTTGAAGATTGGACACAATAGCTTCTTGATGATCTTCATCACTGTCCTCCATAATATGATAAGAGCTAGATTCTGGAAATCCAGATGGATAAGACACACTTCTTGAAGATGATCCCTTTTGTGATGATGAATCCTAAGTACAAAATTCATGTAACAGAAATGACAGTAAAAAATTAATAAAATATGTACATTTATAAGCACAATTATAAATAGTACAATTTTTAAATATATAAATAATTTTACTGAACAGCGCTATATGAAGAAGGTAGCGATACCCGATGAGGCAGAAAACTGTTGTTTCTATCATTAAGTTGCCACATGGTCATGGAATTTTGAGGAAGCATACATCTACTATTTATGAAATGTGTTTTCCCTTCTTTTAACCACACAAGGATTTTAAAAAGCCTTATATCTTATTAAGCCTTATATCTTATTTCTATATTATTCTGATTTTAGCCTTATATCTGAAATATTCTAGACATCAGATGGCCGGTTTTCAGTTTTAAAAACAGCTGAATCTCCTTCCCTTCCTGTAGCTTTTAAAATGCTATATTTTAATTTTATGTCATGTAAGATTCAGGTTTATGCCCACCATAGACTGAATAATATTTAATATAAAACCATAAGAATATTTCTTGTGATTTACAATGGCAGCCCTTAAAAGTTATGGGTAGATTACTTGGTTAATATTTCTCAGTTCTAATCTTTTCATATACTGAAAGACACATAACTGGCTAGTATTAAATTAACTGATTTCATTTTGACAGAAAAAAGTTTCAATAGTGAGAGCTTGACTATTGCTTCTCTTTTGTTTTGATCTTAATATATATTAATTGGAAGTAACCATCAAAATTGTCTCCTGCCATTTTCAAAAGCTTTGCTTAATGTACAGTTTGAAAATTATATCAAAAGTTGCAAGCACTACTGTTTTTAAATTTTGTTGAAACATTAGTCATGATCACTGTGTAATATTATAACACAGTTAATTTGAAAACATATTTTTACAATAAGAAAGGTTATATTATTCTTCTAATCATTTAGAAAGAGCTATTACTTAAACTAGGTTGAAACCCTATGGATGAACATGTAAATTTTAGAATTACAAAAATCTTTCTAAATAAGTAAAAGTGAAAAAGATTGAGAATTATATAATACACTAACATAAAATAAATATAAATATAAAAAAAGAAATATAAACAACACAGCATTCCTAATAAATTATGTTTCTAATACTTTACTTGATTAAAAAATATTTTATCATTATGTTCCTTCATTCTGTGATGTGCTTCAGCAATTGCAAGTGTTGCCTGATGTACTTTTCGATAAATTCTATCACCTTCAAGAGTTTGAAAAACAAACATCCCTTCACCGGTTACACACTGCCTAAAAACAAAGACATATTTATCATTACATAAAAATCACAAATGAAATGCAAGACAATCACTAAAAAAACATACACTAATAAAATTATGAAAACAAGTACCTAACATTGAACATAACTCATTAGATATGTATAAATCAGAAACTAGTATTTTAAAATCTAATGGCAAAACAAGCATTTTGGAATAAGAAAAGAAAATCAGATTTTTCACAAATTTTTCTAACTTTAAATGAAATCATTGATTAGAATTACTTATATAGTAACTGATAACAAATGCACATAGTGAGTAGTCATAACACAGCAGATATCAATTTATGTGATCACAATTAATGTCATCATTCTGATATTGTTGTCAAACTATCCAATTTATATAAAAAGTCCCTATATATTATAATTAAAGTTGTATAAAAGTCCTTCCAATCCAAAAAAAAAAAAAAAAAAAAAAAAAAAAAAAGAGGAAATCATTGTGATTCGGTTAGTATGATCAAATGATAATAATTTGGTTAGTATGACCAAAGTATTAGAGGACAATTTTTTTTAATTTAATTAAAATTGCTGTATGACACAGAAATGTCGCCAAGTAAAGAAGTTAGTCATCAAACTGCCCGATTTTAGTTTTAATGAGTCATTTAAAGTTATGCAGCATTCCAAGTTTGATGCAAATTTTGAACACCTGAATTGATTTCAAAGGCGATCAAGACAAGTCCCTCCTCTTAGGAGCAAAATTTTCCTACAGACTCTTTTTCCCCAAAATTCCTGAAAAAAATGTACCTGAAATACGGCTTTTTCTAAGGGGATCCTAATTTTAAATTTTACAATGGCATGTTCTCTTCTAACTTGATTAAGTCAAACCATATACAAATAAACCTGTTTTCCAAGTTTTAGAAAGATTTGCTGGATTAGCCAGTCTAACCAAACTGGAATTCTAAATAACCCTTCTTTTTATGCATCAAAAAAAATTTTGCTGTGTTTTGAGATTTATTATGCTAATCAGGAAAAGGCATGTGCCACTAAAAATCAATCAATATTGCACTGAAGTTATCATATATTTCTGAATATAAACTGATCCAAGTATAAGCCTAAAATTTGTTTTTTCTTTAAAAATTTACCCAAAATTCAAAACGCCTATATAAGTCAAAATGAATAAGAAAATTCTTCTAACATTGAAGCATGTCATCATGAGGTGAATATGTTGCCAAGCAAATAAAACGAGAGGAATATTTTATAATTAAACTGTTGTAAAGTAAAATATCAGACACCAATGATGATAGCTTTATTTTTCATTTTATTTTTCTGAATGATGAGCAGGAAGAAAAGCCTTATATGGCAAATTTCAAACTACAGGAGATCGTGCCTGATGAAAATTCTAACAACAGCATGGTTGCTCTGCATTTTTCCATAAATGAAAAACAAGTCTGAAAATGGAGCAGGTACAAATTTCACAAACAGGTCTTTTATTTTGGTCATGATGCAAAAATCTAGCATCATAAAAAATTTCAAAAATAATTCAAACCAATAGTATCTGAATATATCACTTTCATTAAACAAATAACTCATTTCACTTAATTCTGCTCATAAACTAAAAAAATAAAAAAGTGAAATATTTTGCAATTTATCTGTTGTGCCCGGCCAATGGAAAAATACCTATTTCTTTTGCGAAATAAGTAAATCTATACATAAGCTGAAACCCGTACAAAAAATTTCGAAAAAAGAAGAAAAAAAGGTTAAGAAAAATTTTCAATAATTCTTGACTTATTCTCAGTAAGTGTTTCTCAATCCCCCTTAAGGAGGATTTTAAAGCAAAATGAAAATATTGTTTACAAATAAAAGCAAAATTGAAATTAAACCATGAAACATAGATTTATAAAAGTTTGTGAAAAAGATGTGGCACTCAGGGATCCACTGATATAAGCAGAAAAGAAAAGAAGAGTCAAATTGAATAAGAGTCAAATTGGGAAAGGTAGTAGTTTGGTAGCAATATATGACTGATTTAATGAAAGAAAATACTGTTTATAAATACATTAAGAATGAAGAAGAAGATGCTGAATTAACTGTTGCAGGACCATGTTTGCCAAATGAATAACCTAAATTCTCTACCACATACAGTCCCGAAAACATTTATAATATAGACAAAACAAGTCTATATAACACTATACATTGGCCTAAAATGCATATTTATTTAAAACTGAAAGTTCATTTAGATTGTAAAATATCAAAAGATTGCGAGACTGTTTTATACTGCATCAATTTGTGTGGCAGGAAAAGAAAACTGTTTAGTAACTGGGAGGGAAAAAAAAATCCCTGATGCTTTAAAAAACCAAAGTTTTTACCAGTAGATATAATTTAAGGCACAAATGATGTCAGTTATTTTTAATGAATAACTTCTGAAATGGATAACGACAGAAGAATATTTTTTTTTTTTTTTTCTTTTTAACAATACAATGCATGAGTAAATGTCTCTCTTATGCTTATTGCAATTGCATACTTGTAAGCAAATACCACAGCTTTTATTCTGAAATGCAACAATTGCAGATATTCCACTATTAATGACATTTTCCATACATGAAATGCTGTGAAAGCTGTGCTTTTATATTTTTTTTTATATTATATATTATACGAGGGTTGGAACTTTAATAGTGGCAACTATTTATTTACAAGGAATACAAAAGTGATTCATGTCACCATGTTTTACAGTCCTTCAATATAGTCGCCAGCATTGTGTACAACCTGTTTCCAATGATGTGGAAGTCACAGAATACCTGCAGCAGCGCCTGTTTTGTTCATAGTTTGAATGGACCGGTCTACTGCCACAAGAATCTCAGGAACAGTTTGGAAGCGAGTGCCACGAAGTGGTTCCTTCATCTTAGGAATTAACTCATAGTCACAAGGGCTTAGATCTGGGGAGTATGGTGGATGGTAAAGCACTTCTCAGCCCCATCGCTTGAACAAATCAGTCACAGCTTGCGCTGCATGCGGCCGAGCATTGTCATGCAAAATGAGAGGACCTCAAAGCTGGTCGGAGATTGTGCTCCAAAAATGAACAGTAACACTGTGCAATGACGGTCTGCTGTGGGGGAATGGTATGCATTAGGATGACACCATCACAGTCGTACACGAGAATCACCATAACTTTCACATTGCTGGGGTTCTGACGAAATTTCGAACGCCGTGGTGACCCGTGATGATGCCATTCGTTTGATTGGCATTTCAGTTCTGGTTGGTACGATCGGGCCCAAGTCTCATCCAGCGTAATGATATGGCGTAAAAAAGCATCTCCTTCGCGCTCATAGCGCTCCAGGTGAGTTCGGGCAGCATCGTATTGTAGCCATTTCTGCATTTCCGTCAATTGATGTGGAACCCATCGTGAAGCAATTTTTCTCCCGGACAGGCATTCCTTCAGAATGTGCAGCACAGTCATTTGCGCTAATCGTGTTTGTCCAGCCAAGTGACAATTTGTTTGGCGGCGATCACTGTCCATTAGTGCGGCAACAGCTTGCACGTCTGCATCGCTGACACTCGGACGACTTGGCCGCAGCATGTCTGCCACTTTTGGCGTCCTTCATTGAATGCTTTCACCCATCTTGCTACAGTTCTGTAAGGCAATGCAGATTCCCCGCAAGCCTCTTGAAGCCCTTGATGACACTGTCGTACTGTATGACCTCTGGCACATTCAATTTTTATCCAACATCATTGTTCTTGTTTTGAAAACATCCTGACAACACTTATTTTAGACCGCGAGCTAATACAAGGATCCGTTCTTCGCGTCACTCTGCATGCACGTGACGTAGGCAGGATGAGTCTGTTTGCTGAGAGGTAAGGTAGGTATCTAGTTTACGTGTGGTATACGCGATATTCTTTGGTTTTGTTGCGTAGCATTTTTTCAGCTGTGTTGCCACTATTAAAGTTCCACCCTCGTATTTTATATAAAACTGCATATTATTTTTATATTACATTTTATATTAAAACTGTATTTTATTTATTTTTGCTTTAAGAGTATGAAAAATCATTTTGAAAGTAATTTCATTGGTGAATATGCAATACTATTTATGCAAAATATTTTAATGTATTTTCATAAAAGAGCTCTTTCAGACTCTAAAAATTTCTCAATAATTTTTCGCTTTCCCTACATTTTTTTTTTTTTTTTCCTTGTACCCACATTACTTCCTTTTTTTAGGTTTGAATTATATTGAATTTATCTTATTTTAAAAGTTGATTAGTTATTTATTATTATTCTGCATTATTTAGCCATTTATTTACATACTATTTTCATAATCTTAAGATTATTTTTGTCTTTTAAACCTCAAAGAGGTGCTTTTAATTTTAAAATTATCATTCATGTTTCTGCTTGATATGATTTTTACAGAATTCTGAATCTAGTTTCTTTTTATTTATTTATTTATTTATATATATTTCATGGGAAACTTAAATTTGGACCCATGCTTTCAAAAATATTCAAATTCAATTTTCCCTTGAATTGTATTCAGGAAACACTATTTTCTGCTTATCATTTTCCCCTCACAAATTTAATAAGTAATTATCATCAGCATAATATTACTCACTCAGCTAGTACAACTACACTCTAAAAATATAAATTAAGCAAATATATTTTTTTGAAAATCCAAATCCAAGGAGTATAATTTTTATAATAATTTATAACATTAATTAGCAGAAACATTAAAAATTTAGCTGCAATTACATCAGAAAGAAGCACTGTTATAATACTATAAAAATTTAATGCTTCTATGAGTTTTTATGATAAAATTTGAATAACATAGTGCATTTTTAAGATCTAAGGGAAATTTAATAATTAAAATAACTCATATGATTAAAAGGTATAAAGAAAATACCTATTTCATAATATATTTTATGTTTACCTTCCTGCTTCAAAAGTGAATTTAGAAGGATCACTACCATATCTGCGTAACGCAGTTAATGGCCAGGCCACCAGTTTTATTCGAGAGTTGTTGATATCCCAGAGGTAGATATTTTCATGAGTTACTTGTAGTAAGCATTCACCAAACACATCAAGTTTAGGTGTAGGCATTAGGTAAACATGAAATTGCTCTGTTTTAAAAATAATTAACAATATTATAAACATGCTTAGCAAGAATAAAAAATTTTTTCAGAATTATACAAAAATAATTACATAAAGGAAACATCAAATTGATAAATGCATTGAAAGCTTATTGCAATAATACAAAAATATGTTATTGAAGAAAATCGAAAAGCTCATTTTATTCATTAAAATATAACTATAAATAGGATATTAAAAGAAAATTATGTTCATTAGTAGAAAAACCAATTATGTTGATATAAGACATGAAGCTTTTTAACTTGCATTATAAATTTGATTATTCAAAAGCTATAGGTTCATTAACTTAATGTATTTATAATGTATACAACATAAGATTAATAATTTTTTGTTTCAATTCAGCATGGGCTACTAAAGATGCAAAATACTTTTTTTAAGTGTGAAAAACTATTACTACTATACAAGCAGTACCACAAGCTGTGAAAAACTATTCATAAGGCAATGCACCATGCAGTCAAAACGTATTTATGTGACGACCCATGATATCACCAAAAAGTATTTATCTCCCAACTCAGGTATGCACACAGCATCTTCCAGAGGTTTCAACCTTCTCTGAATATTTTCCTAGTGTGACTGTAAGTTATGATCCTTCCTATCGGAATTTCAGCGTTATAGCTTAGTGGTGCTCCACATACTGCAGTCTTCATTACCTTTGAGAAAACTTGGATTTGGCTTTTTGCAAAAAATAGAGTGTAATGCGACTTGCTTAAAAGCATCATTTCCCTAGTTTTCCCTTCTCATTTTAGAAGGTGCAAATAATCATAAAGTACCAAAATAGATTAGCTATGTTATTGTTATTTATAAGTTGTTTATTAATGTGACGGAAAATAATTATGAGTTAATATTTTTCCTATATATGTTACAGTACTTATTTAATAAGCTTTTTTAGGATTGGGGGAAATAAACATTTTGAATACTTAATTCTTTTGAAAAGTAGTGCCAGTTTTAATCATCATAAATTGCATATCAAACTGAAGACAATTAATTTTATAAAGCTTTTAAAACTGTTTCCTTCTAAATTAAAATATCAGCTTATTATAGATGAAAAGATTGAAAGAATTATGAAATTTAAACATTAAAGTATTTTGCATCTTTAGTAGCCCATGCTGAATTCAAACAAAAAATTATTAATCTTATATTGTATACATTATAAATACATTAAGTTAATGAACCTATAGCTTTTGAATAATCAAATTTATAATGCAAGTTAAAAAGCTTCATGTCTTATATCAACATAATTGGTTTTTAGTACTAAGGTTGCATGTGATGCTAAGTTTGTCAGTTCTCTGATGCAATTTTAGCGAAAACAGATCATTGCATACATGGTGAGAACAACAGTACATAAAAAATACAAAGTGTGCATATGTTGTATGGAAAAAGAAGAATGTAAAAAAACATGCAGTACTCAATACACTGTTGAAATAGATGAACTTTTCTCTCCGACGTCTTCAAAGAGTTTCAAATGCTCCCCAAAGTCAGCAATGACTTTGCAGTTTCTCAGTGGGGATGTGGATACCCAGAAAGCATCCATATTTTAATACGCAAAATAACTTTTTTGTTAATTATAAATTAAATGAAACAGAAGACATTCAAAATAAATTTTGTTTACACAAAACTGATTTGTTTGCAGATGACATAGCACTGGTCATCATGACATAGCACTGGTGGCCAGAAGCAAAAGATATCTAATAGAAGTATTTGAAGTTATTGAGGGAAACTAAGCCAATGGGCCTTATTATTAACCAAGACAAATTTCAATAGAAGTCCATCTGACTTCTATTGGAAACACACACTTACTTAACTCATCTCTTAACTGGGGATTATAAATTTGAAAAGGTTATAGATTTCATTTGCCTGGAATTGATGTTTAACAAAAACTGACTAACTGAATAGGAGAGACATATTGTTGTGACTAATAAAACTTTTTATGGATTACAGCACTTATTTAGCTATTACTCTCCTGTTAGTTCCATCCTGTCCCGAGTTACATTTTGGAGATGTGGTTTATGACTGCAGAAAGAAATATTTTCAGCTAGCCCAGTTAACACAAGAAGAGGAAGACCTAGCCATCGATGGATAGATGCTCTTCAGGAGGTTTGTTTTGTTCTTAAAACTAAGAACTGGAGAAGTTTGGCTGCTAGTAGAGGTAGTTGGAAATGTCTAGTTCAGAATGCCTTGGCCCAACCTGGGCTGTCATGCAACAGATGATGATAGATGATTTCATCATCCCCATGGATGATGATTAAATCATCCATCATCATTCGTGGTAAAATTCCAAAATCTAGATATTCAACAACTGGAATGATCTATTACTTGGACTCCAAATAAAAATTTTTGGAAGGGGAGAAGAATAAGTTCTTTTTTCTCACATCACACAAAGCAGGAATCGAGATTATTAAATTTGAGGAAAAGAAAAGTGCTACAAATTGATTTTCTTTCACTGACAAGGATCATTATCACAGTGTATTAACCCTTTGCAGTCAGATTAAATTTGGAGATGTGTATCGTACTGGTCAGAATTAATTTCCGTCGATAGAGCATAGATACATAACACGCAAATTTACGATGGATAAACAAGATTTAGTAATTCTTTTGTGAACTTTAGATATATCTTTATTCAATACACTCATCTAGTGATACAGGGTTCATAGCCACATTTTAGTTAAAAAAAATAAGCACCTATAAGCACTTTTCAAGCACATTTTAAGGAAAAAATAAGCACCTGTCTAATTACATTATACACAACTGCATAACCTTAAAAGAAAAAAATTAGACTTTAATTTTAAACGAGCAACACAATATTTAGTAAGAGAATGAGCATTACCTCAACCATGGAAAACAATTAACTTTTTTTTAAATTTTAAATAAACAGTTCAATTTACAGAATTAGTTTACAATGAGAGAAAAAAAAAACTATGCAGAACTAAACTATATTACCAGATTTAATGATGAAATTTCAGTTTCAAAATATAGAAAATAAATAATAATAAGCCATATTAACTGTATTCGTTTGGCACCTAATAATAAATACAATTTATTTTTCCACTCATATTAATATTTAAATAATTTAACTTAAATCAAAATTTGAACATTTTCTAAATTTTTCATTGCATAACAGTTTTGCCCTTAACAGATATTGCAAGGAAAGTAATTTAAGTAAATAAAAAAAAAGATGCATCTTTTCTGAAATCAGGAGGAGACGGAAAGTTGCTTCATGCAAGTCATCCTTTAACAGTAGAAGCTTAACTAACCCGCATACTTGGGAAATTGCTGAATATCTGAAAATTCCAGATAGTTGAGCATAACTAGTAAAAAAGAGGAAGTGGGGTTAGATATTGTAGCCGTTCTTTAAGATTTTCTCGGCTAAATAAACGGTTTTGACATTTTGAATATGTGCATCATATAAAAAATAGACCAATGACACTGAAGAAATAATTCTGCTTAGAAAGCACAGTAAAAACTCTTTTAAGTGTTCATAAACAAATCTCAGACTAAACATCAAAATTAATTATCTCTGCAAAATACTGCAAACGTTATTGTGCAATACGTGTGGCGTAATCGGAATCAACAGCTGCCGGTATTCGGAGAATAAAGAACTAAATAAAAAAAAGAAAGAGACTTACTAATCTGGGGTGTTTCCGATTCTAATTTTCAACAGACTGCGTTAAATTTCCGAAATAGAATCAATCTTCGCTTAGGTTGGGTAGACCGCAAAAACTTTTAGTCCTATTCAATCCAGATCGGACAGTGACAAAAAAAAAAAAAAAAAAAAAAAAAAAAAAAAAAAAAAATCCGTTGCTTCAATATTAGAGATTTTGCGGAGAAAGGGGAGAACCTCCCAACCTCCGTACTGTATGATGTATTGGGGGGGAAAAAATTCTTTTGACTATTTGATTACTTTCCTTTTATTTAAGCCATTCCGAATATTATTCCTTAGAAAGCTAATATGTGTAAAAACACACCCATTTTTTGGAAGTTTATCTATAATTCACCAGTTACTGCAACTATATTATTATAAATATTCATGCATATACTCATAATATAAGCATAATGATCATAATAAACTGACCACGCGGAACAAGAATGCAAATTATTAAAATCTTGACAGAAATTCAAACGTGTGTAGTATTTGGATGGGAGGAAAAGAATACCGAATGTACAGAATTTTCTACCGTTTTCCCAATTCTTTGACCAATAGAACGACGTGCACCTGTCTGTACTCTCGCGCGTACCATAGGTTACGTTAATGCAGAGAAAGGGGGGGAAAAGTAATTTCCGGGAGTATGATTCAACATCTGACGTTGCATATAAGGAAGAAAAGTTGTTTATTTAGTTTCGGCTTTGGTACGGGGGAAAATGCGCGTTCATTAAAAAAAAAAAAAAAGGATTAAAAAAAAAAGCACTAAAAGCAAAAAATAAGCACTAAAAACAAAAAATAAGGGCTTTACAGAAAAAGTAAGCACCTATAAGGGCCTTTATATTTTATTTTCAAATATAAGGACAAGCACTTGTAAGGACCACTACGAACCCTGTGATATGTTTTTGTATAAAAATAATGTTTTATAGTTCTCTTTCGTATGATATTTTTCTTTGATCCTGTCGAAAAATTAGTTTTTGATTGTGGCTGATCTGTGTATGTAATGTCTCTCCAAGTAGTAAATTCGTTTAGATTACTATTCTCATTTTCATCATTTTTTTCTGTTTCACTGTCGCTGGATATTGTTAACTGCCTTACTCGTCACTTCACAGGAACTATGTCACTATCAGAGTCACTGCAATCGTTATCACTTTCTCCATCGGAGTCAGTATTCAAGAGGCCAAAATAAAACTCATCATCGCTATTGTCAGTTTCACTGAACACTTCTTGCGGTAACTTTCTTTTTGCCATTTTGGGGAATTATTTTGAAATATTTTAAGATGAGAGAATGTCTAATTACTGTTAAATACAATTTATAAAATATTCTTTGGAATTCTACAAGGTATCGTTGAACGTTGTCGATTTCATTACGTTCAAAAGACGATTGACTCGCCACTGTGTTTTGCACGGCGAGCGCTGGGTCACAACTTTTGTTTAGATTAGATTACGTTATCTCCAATCAATGGAGCACTGTATTGGTTCGTGAATAGTTCTTTAGGCATTGAGATTCATATAGGAAAAGTGTAAACTGATACATGAATGCATACAGTATACGATTCGTATAGTTCCTTGCTGTGGTGGCTGAGAGCAGACATACGATCGGAACGGTAAAAAGGCTGTGGTGGCTGAGAGCAGACATACAACCGGAACGGTAAAAAGGCTGTGGTGGCTGAGAGCAGACATACAACCGGAATGGTAAAAAGGCTTTGGTGGCTGAGCGTGGACATACGACCACAAAGGGTTAAATCATCCTGCATACTATTTCACTTTTAAATGCCTAGCAGCTAGCAAATCATGTTTTCAATTTTGGCCCTTGAGTAACTGAGGAAGCAGCATTTTTTCTATTTTGTTCAATCCTTCTACACAAGAAGCCAAAGCCTTACTCAAGCTCAAAAACTCATATTTGTCTGCAGTGGAGTCGTATTTCACATACTGGTCTTCTTTTGTTAGTATGGCAGGAAAGAAGGGTTCCACTAAATTCAGGCTCAGGAAGCACTGCAAATTGCATTCTATCCTAACTTTCTGATTTGATGCAGCTTTTTATTTTGTTCATCCTATAATTAATAACCTTACAAAAATTAAAGCTTTCGTAAATGATATCTCCACTTTATTCTTTTCTTGAAACCGGACATCCAACATTCAGCCAAAATCATGCTGTGCACATTAAAATGCTTCGTGCACTGGAATGAAGATATAAAGCAGCCTGTTTTAAAACATGCAACAGTGTGAACTCTTTAACATAAATATGTAATAAGAAATATATTTGAAATATTTTAATATACAAATGTGGGTCCAAAAAATAACCAGATAATTTTTTATAAATAAGAAAAAATTACTAATTTTCAAAAATTTATCTCCTTTTTAAAGGAATTCCTCCTCCTTTAAAAAGCCAAAGCAGTCTATACAATTTTTCCGATGTTTCTTCATCGCTGCCTATAAACAGTATTTCACTGAAATACTGTTTATAGGCATTGCAACTAACCGTTGGCAAAATGCATGTAAGGTTTGATTTAATATCCGAGATAATTTCAAATCTCTATCCCTTCATGACCATCTGAAGCTTTGGTAAAAGGAAAAAATCAGCTGGAGATAAATTAGAAGAATATGGTGAGTGATTTGGCACTGCAATTGAATGCTTAGCAAAATACTGTTGTACAGATACTCTCCTGTGGACCTTAGCATAATCACGTAAAAGAAACCATTGCCCAGAATCAAAAAATTCTTGGAACTGTAAAATCTGTAGCACATTTTTTAATTCAGAAATATTGCCATTTCAGCTTTGAGCCACATTTTAATCAATCTTTATTGATGTTGAATAGCTTTCCTGAAGGAAAAAAACAGTTACTTGGTTATCACTTGGCAAATTCCAAATCATGAAAATCCATTTTGCATGCAAGGAAAAAAAAAAGGAGAGAGAAGAACTGCTACGATTAATTGAAAAATGTGATTGTTTCAGGAAAAAATCAAAACCAAACTAATTACATTGAGGGAATAAAGCAAAACGAAAGGAATTTTTTAATGAGGAATTTTCTATGTTATACAGATCTTGTCCCAAGCATGACATTAAAATTGTTATGGGAAATATGAAAGCTAAATTGGGTAAAGAGGATGAATTTAGACCAGCAACTGGAAAGCATGGCTTGCATGATAGTACTAATGACAATGGACAACGACTAGTACTTTTTGCTGCTGAACACAACATGATAATTTCAAGCACTGTGTTCTGTCACAGGAGAATACATAAGATGACTTGGCACTCAGCTGATGGAGAAACCTGGAATCAAATTGATCATGTACACATCGATTATAGGCATTCTTTGGATATCCAGGATGTTAGAACTTATCGAGGCGCCACCTGTGATTCCGACCACTTTTTGGTTATTGCTAAACTAATTGCTAAAATTTCAAATGCCTGAAAAATACAGGGAGAGAGGCAAAAAAAGTTTGATCGTGAAAAGTGGAAAAATGAGGTAATTGAACGAAATTTCCAGTCCTCACTCAGGGGAGAACTAAGATCTAAAAACATGGCCGAACTGGAAACCGTGGAAAATATATGAAGTTTGATCAAAGACTCGATCATACGCTCAGCTGACAACACACTGAGATATATGGAAAAACCCAAACCAAGGGATTGGTTTGATAACAAATGCTTCCTTGTAACACAGGCAAAAAGAGCAGCTTATACAAATATGGTCCAAAAGAGAAATTCAAGACTTTTGAGGAAGATAAGAGATCTCGAATACAGGAGAAGATCCATCGGCTTAAGAAAGACTTTTTCACGACGACCTATTTAAGGATGTTAAACATCTGGAGAGGGTCCAATGAAAGCCGTGCTTTCTATCATGCAATTTATCTTGGCCGCAAAGATTTTAAGCCTAGAACCACTGTCTGTAGAGACAAAAACAACATCATACTAAATGATAGAAAAAAAGGTACTTCACAGTTGGAATGAGCACTTTAGTAACTCGTTGAATGAGCATATGTGGGATGGGTCTTCAACCTACCCAACTACCTCTGTAAACACCGACAGTATTCCGCCACCATTCTTTGGCGGAAATTAGAGAAAGAATAAAAAGCTCAAAAATAACAAGGCCCCAGGAGCTGACTCACTTACTTCAGAACTTATTAAAAGTGCTGCAATGTTCAAAACAATTGAGGAAATACACCACTTCATCGAATCAGTTTTAAACCAAGAAGTTTTATCCTGAAGATAGGAAACTGAGCATCATCTGTCCTATACACAAAAAAGGAGACATTCTGGAATGTACCAAATACAGGAAAATCAGTCTCCTTTGTGTTTTTTACAAACTATTTTCTAATATACTTTTTAGTAGACTAGTAACTTATACAGAAAATATTTGTAGGTAATACCAATGTGGTTTCTGCAAAGGAAGATCTACAGCAGAACCAATCTTTAACATTAGGCAAATTTTGGGAAATAAACTAATATATATGGCATTTCAACACACCCCTTTTTGTGATTTTAAGACTGCCTATGATTCAAAACAGAAATATTAACTGAAGCTATGAGAATTTGCAATACCTGAAAAAACTTATAAATTTGGTCACATTACTCTTACTGAGACAAAACTTAGGGTTAAAATGCAGAATAATCTTTCTGAGCCTATTGTTGTTTCAAATGGGCTCAGACAGGGTAATGCACTGGCCTGCTTCCTTTCTAACCTTGCCCTCTAAAAAATCATAGAAGACTCCAACATTAATACTCGCAAAACTATCTTTAACAAGTCTGTTCAGATTTTTACATTTTCTGATAATATCGACATAGTCACACGCACTCCCGAGTTACTTAGAGAGGCTGCAGCCAGCAAAATGCATCTAGCAATCAACCAAAATAAAACTAAATACATGCCATGTGGTAATAACAGCAGCCCCTATTTGAAATTGGGAACTGCTAGAAAATTTAAATATTTAGGATCAGAAGTTAATACTCTTGATGATTTAATGCCCGAGATCCGTAGTAGAGTCACAGATGCTAACCGATGTTTTTTCAGTCTCAAAAAATACTTGAAGTCTAACTTCACTAGCAGAAAAACGAAGATTTTAATTTACAAAAAGCTTAATCAGACCCATTCGTACATACTCTGATGACCATGGGGCAATGACAGAAAAAGCAAAAAGTATCCTTTCTGTCTTTGAATGAAAAATTTTGAGAAGTATTTTTGGTGGCATAAAACGTAACAATATCTGGAGAAGAAGAACTAAGTCTATGAATCTTTTAAAGAAATAGATATAGTAAAATATATATGGATTTAGAAAATTAAATAGGCAGGACACCTGTGCAGAATGGATGAAAATCGAGTAACTAAACAGATCTTCTCGGCCAGACGATTCAGCACTCGAAAAAGAGGGAGACCTAAACTTAGATGGCTCAACTATTTGGAAACAGACTTAAGAATTTTAAAAACAACCAATCGGACGTCCATGGCCAGGGATAGAAGAGCTTGTAGTTCGATTGTGAGGAAGGCAAGGGCCCATCCTGGGCTGTCTGGCCATATGCGGGATGGGTCTTCAAACCTACCCAACTACCTCTGTAAACACCCACAGTATTCCGCCACCATTCTTTGGCGGAAATTAGAGAAAGAATAAAAAGCTCAAAAATAACAAGGCCCCAGGCCCTGACTCACTTACTTCAGAATTTATTAAAAGTGCTCCATGTCAAAACAATGAGGAAATACATCACCTCATCGAATCAGTTTTGGAACCAAGAAGTTTTACCCGAAGATTGGAAACTGAGCATCATCTGTCCTATACACAAAAAAGGAGACATTTTGGAATGTACCAAATACAGGGAAATCAGTCAGTTTGAAGAAGAAGAAGTAAAACAAAAGAGTGAGAAGCGGGAAAAAATTATACTTTCCAATTAATGGCATACATAAAAAAATGCAAATAAATGCTAAATGAGGATTTTAAAGTATTTTTATAGCATGCTTTAAATCAAGACAGTATTATCATCAACAGTGAAGAAACAAAGAGATCGTTATGAATAAAAAGATTTCAACAGACTATTTAGTGGAAATCCTTGAAATTCTTTAATGAAAATTCATGGCAATTATAGGACTTAACTAACGTAAATGTATAAATGAACAAAAAAATTGCATCTGTATGAAATTAAAGAGAAAGTATTAATTGCTTGAGCAACTTGTGTTGGGAAAAAAAATTAAACTTAAAAGAAAAAGTTACACTGAGATACTCCCCAACACACACACATTTAGATTCCTTTAAGGCAGAAGTCGACAACATTGTGCCCACGAAGCAATTTTAAAATGCTTATCATTCAGATACCTAAATTCTAAATTTTAGATATATGGGTAACAAATACTCGCAACTGTAATAAAAATTCCTGCTTTATCTTTAGAATTTCAACAACTGTACACATTTTACCATTAAAGTTTTGGCAAAAGCTGAATTTTACCCGCATCTAGATAAACACTACATGATCAGATGAATTTATTTTAAAATGCTAGAAAAATTTGATTCAACATACAGTAACCTATGATTGTTCCCATTATGTCCATGTGTGGAAATTATTTTGATTAGTTGATAGATGGCGCTAGCGCTGCATGTTAACGCGACGCGACGTGCCTTCTGAATTTCCATAGACTCTCCACCGGCAGTTCGATAGATGGATGTCTGTGGTTCGCACACTATTTGATTAGGACACGTCGGTTCCTATTTAAAAGATTTTCGATTTTCGATTATGAAAGCATAAGATTTGTTTGTCAACTGAACCACCATGATTGTTAATGATCTGTAAATTTTACATATTAAAAGTTCCTTTTAAAGTGATTGATGTCGATTATAGATCTTAGAATATTTGAAACAGCTGGTGCAAGAATTGGATTTGGCACGTTGCAAGTGAAAGTCAGCAAAGGTAAGGCTAAATTCTAATTTGTAGAGTAACTATGGCGGAGAGTCTGTTGTTAATTAAATTGAAACGCAAAGTTTCAGGACCACCTTCCAAGATTCTAAAAAAAATCGAATCGGATTGAAAAAGAAAATTGATCAGTACTTAGAAGAAAATTTAGATCAATTAATCCCGAAATCAAAGCTCTGAGTGAGTTAAGCTCGATAGAGCGTGCTTGAATCAGAGCAGAAGACTTTGAACAGAAATCTATTGTATCGAATACGAGAGAATTCGGTATGGCAATTCAAGCAAATAAATTGAAAAATTAAATAAAGTCCAAATCGATGATAAACTCTCTTAATGAACTAATTCTAAAATCGAAACCAATAATGTTCTCTGCCAAAATTAACCATCGGTAAATTCTATGGAGATTACACCCATGGACAGTTTCTGGATCTTTCAAGTAGCAATCCTGATAATGAATCTTTAACAAAGATCGAAAAATTTAATTATTTAAATTGTCTTATGCGGCAATGCTGCAATGCGATAGAAGTTTTTTGCATTCGTAACAAAATACGATGAAGTTATCGAAATACTTAAAAACAGGTTTGGGCAGAAAAATATAATTATAAACTCACACATGGCAAAAACTCCTGAATCTTACCCCAGTACCAAATCCGTACACTGTAAACTTCGCAAACTTTTTGACACTATAGAACCATACGCAGCTTGAAATATTAGAAAGTCACCGTTATACAGTTATGTTATTCCAGCCATAATGAAAACTCTGCTGTTTTGATATAACCTTAGAATTCAATCGTAAAACGGATCGTCATCTTTTTTATGTTGACAAATTATTGCAGCTTGTTCGTTTAGATTGGAAAGTCGCGAGAGAAGCCATCTTTTGCTCTCCACTCAAATCAAAACGCTTCCTGGTTTATAAGAGGGTGGGAAAGGGAGTATCGTCCTTCCACTCAGCAACTGTGGCGCCGGTTAAAGAAAACAAAAACTAATTGCTGTCTGTTTTGTAAACATCCAAAATGTTACTGAAGACTGTGAATCACTGACAGTGATGAAAAGAAATTTTTACGGAACATGCCAAATGTTACCTTTGCTTGAAATCAAACCACCGCATAAATCAGTGTCGAAGCGATCTCGTCGCTCCAAGTACAAAGGTAGACATAACCGTTCAATATGCTTTCGCGCTGAGAAAGAACAAATGAAAAAAATAAAAGTATAGAAGATTCGCATGTTCTTTCGCATTCTCACGCAGCAAAATTAAAACTATTTCGCTTCAAAACTTGTTGCTAACACTTCGAACACCTACGCAGCGGTTTAATTAGAGCTCGCTGGATTCAGGTATATGCGTTCCTTCCTGAGAAATGAACTCGCAGATAAATTGAAGCTTCCTGTTATCGAACAAGACTCTTCGGTATTACGTTGGAATTAAAACACCATCGAAAAACATTTGACGTTGTTTTAGATAAAATTACAGAACAGAAACAACCGAATTTGAAAATCGAAATTGAAGCTCTCGTGACTGAGCAAATTTCGAGTTCTAATTTACCACCTCCTAATCTGGATTGACACATTTTAGGCAAACAGTTAGATGGTTTACAACTCGCAGGATTTTGGGATTGCAAAGAAAATGGTACTTTTCCTTTGCCGGCGCAACATAAAGTCGCAATAAGGTTTAACTATGCCAGACATATCTTCGCTGGTAAACTTTTACGCCTCGTTTCAAACAAGTTGAAGCCATTCTTATCAGATTGTTTCTTTCAATACTGGCATACAATAAATATAGAATTTTTACAACGATATTTAAATTTTATCCCTAAGACATTCACGGTAATAGTCAAGAGAACGCATACACCGCTCATCCGAAGGCAAATCAGTGTTAAATTCATCAATTCTAAGGAGAATGCACTAGGGAAGTAAAGCACTGCGGTTTTTACATAATTCTGAGTAAGCTATTCGTACGAATTGAAGTAATTCTTGCATTTAACTTGTATTCCAAATTAAGATTTAACTTGAAATAATGTAGATAATTACTGAGCGAATTATATTTTTGTAGCGTAGTTTACGTGAGATAAGATCACTTGGGGTCACGTGAACGAACCGGCGAATCAGATTTTGAACCATGAAATCAAGTAAATAAATCTTAATTAATGTCTTTTACAAATTTATTGTCTTTATTTATTGGCTTTTTACAAAATTTTAAACCATATTAAATGTTTATGCCTTCAAAATAAAAAAAAAATTTTGAATTAACATGTTTTATGTGTTACTGTATGCTGTCGCCAAAAAAGTCTGCTTGGCGAGATTTGCGCCGGCGATGGAAAAGTAACCGAAAAAATTACTCTTTTGATGGAGCTGATCATTATTATGATGTATACTGGGAAACTTAAGCGTTTTTAAGAAACATTTAGAGCTGCTGAAACGTATTCGGTTGGTCCTGCTAGGTTCCTAAATAAACACAATCCACACCTTTATATCATATGAGGAAGATAATTCTGATCAGATAAGAAATTTTGGGAGCTTGAAAGTTTAGGTAAAACCTAAGATGAATTATCTGACCCATTAGACAATACCATAATGGAAGAATTCAAATCGGAAATTATACAAAAATTCTGTTACAAGGTTAGGCTGCTATGGAAGTCTGATAGACAATATGAGTTACTGAACAATAAAGCGATTGCGCTGAACGATTTGAGAAACTTGTAAAGCGATTTCAGAATACCCTGATCTTTATTCGTACCAAACAGTTCTAAAGTTATTTAAACAAACATCATTGAACCAGTCCAGACACTGATAGTGAATCTCAAATCACATTATTTGCCTCACAGAGATCGTTCGTAGTGATCGAACTCCTAGTAAACTAGTTAATATTCGACGCGTCTTCACATGGACCTGGTGAATCGTTAAATGACTGCTTGCATATTGGTCCAAAATTGTATCCTGACATTCTTGAACTTCTGTTACCTTCAGGCTTCATCCTGTAGTATTTACAAGTGCCATAAGCAGGATTTTTTAAGATAGAAGTAATGAGAAGGACAGAGATGTAACGCGGTTTCTGTTTACTAAAAACCCATCGATTGATCCAAAAATTATAACTTATCGGTTCACACGTGTATTTGGCGTAAATGCAGTCCGTTTTTACTGGCTGCACCATTAAACCATTTGAAACATATGAAAAAACCCGTGCCACTGCGAATTTTCTATGATCACATTTATGTAAAGACATCATTGAGGAACCAAGCGTTGAACTTGTTTCAATACCAGTTTAGAATGCGTCAGCATTTAGAGATGCTAGTAGATTCTAAATAAATGCACACCATTCTCAAGACTGCACGAATAGGGTTAAAGAAGGTATTGAATCCGAGGAATCTAGTATTCGGAAGCTAAAATCCTCCATTGAAAGTGTTAGGATAGATTGGGACATCAAGTGCATAATTTACTTTGATGTAAAAAATTTTATAACATTCTATCAAACAACAATACTAACGACGTTTGTCCTTCAAGCAATAGGACGAATTTTTTATCCTGAATGAATTTTTGATCTATTATCAACCGTTTTACTTAGAGTCAAATCAAATATTGCAACAATTTGGCACTGCTTTAGATGGGAGATGAACTATCAGAAAATTTATGTTCTTATGGAAAACATGGTGAATAAGCTTCATTTAGATGAAATCGGTATTCCACTATATTCTTTTTCTGCATCGGTAATAGTGATGTGGAAGGATTGAACTGCACTTTTCTGACCTAGCAAAAGCGCTTATGGACAGTAGTATCGCGTATAATTTCTAGCAATGAACAAATATTAAGGTTTTGTTGTTCAAAACTAGAGTGCGTATGGACAGTAGCGTATCTGCGTACATTTCTACAAT